GAAGGATCATTCCAGTCCAATGTAATGTGGTTTCTTCTCAGCGTGCACTGCTGGCAATACCACCAGCTCTCTGAGCTCCACAAACCCCTCCACAACCCACCCCCCAGTCCAATAAAGCACGCAGGCTGGGCTACAAGGCCAAGCAAGATTATGTCATGTATTGGATTCATGTGCACCGTGGTGGCCCGAAACACCCAGTTCCTAAGGGTGTGACCTATAGCAAGCCAATCCACCATGGTGTTAACCAGCTAAAGTTTGCACGAAGCCTTCAGTCTGTTGCTGAGGAGAGAGCTAAATGCCACTGTGGGGCTCTGAAAGCCCTGAATTCTTACTGGGTTGTGAGGATTCCATGTACAAATTCTTTGAGGTTATCCTCATTGAGCCCTTCCATAAAGCTAGGAGACGGAATCCTGACATCCAGTGGATCACCAAATCAGTCCACAAGCACAGGGAGATGCGAGGACTAACATCTGCAGGCTGCTAGAGCCGTGGCCTTAGAAAGGGCCGTAAGTTACACCACACAATTGGTGGTTCTCGCTGTGCAGCTTGGAGAAGGCACAATCCTCTCCAGCTCCACCATTACCACTAATGAGTAATGTTTGTAAAATTCTTACCTAATACACAATTTAGGACAATAAAAAAAAGAAAGAAAAAAAGAAGGCTATGATCCATTTTAATTTTTGTATATGATGTGAGATAGAGGTTCAACTTCATTCTTTTGCATGGGGATATATAATAGTCCCAGCCCATTTGTTTATAAAAGACTGTTCTTTTCACATTGAATTATCTTAGCGCCTTTAGGTTTTCAACCTTGTCATTAGTTGAAAACTGACTGACAAAGATGTCTTAAAGATAATACTTAGTTTAGGCAAGGGTGAGGGGAAGTCTTAAACACTGTTAATGGGAGTATAAAAGAAGTACAGCCTCTGAAGTGCAGTTTGCCATGCATATCCAAATTTGAAATATATATCCTCTGATTAGAAAATTATACTTTTAGGAATTTATTTCTAGGAGCTAACTGTACAAAAGTGTTATATATAATGGTGAACTGGAAGTAACCTAAATGTCTATCAGTAGGAGACCAGGTGAATAATTATGCTACATCCATACAGTGAAATATGATGTAGACTTTAAAAATGATGAAGTAGACTTATATTTGTTGTCTTGGAGGAATCCCTGTAACTTACTGCTATGTGAAAAATAAAAGCATGTTACAAAGCACCATTATAGTATAATTACATTTATATAATATTATATGTTTTACATATGCATCATCATAGAGATAGCTTAGAAAATATTCACAAAAATGATTAACAGTGGTGCTGCTAGGTAATGAGATTTGGGCTTGCGTTCATTTTCTTCTTTATCCTTTTTTCTGCATTGCATGAATTTGCTACACGAATATGTATTGTCTTTATATTCAGAAAAGAAAAGCTATTTTTATTTTGTAGAACGATGTCCTCAAGGAATATATAGTAGTAGACTATTTAATGGCTTGGAAATATGTTAATAATATATTAAGTGAAAAAAGCAAGTTGCAGTATCATCCTACTTTCAAAAAATTTTTTAAATGTCATAGATAAAGTATTTCCTAGGTACTATGTCTTTTTTCCTACTTACTACTTCTGAAATAAAGATGTCTCTTAAAATCGATACGAATACTTAATGTAGTGGGTCCCCCCCCCCCCCCGCCCCTTGCTGCCTCCCTGAAAAGCTGTTATTAATGAGATGATGCTTCTGGCAACCTGAGACTTGAGAAAGTGCCATATGTGTGTGGAGAAAAGACTGGAGGAATAGATACCAAAACGTGATCAGTGTGTGCTCAGCCCTGAATTTAGATTTTTATTTTCTCATCTTTGTTAAGTAGAGTTTCAAGGCTTTCTGTAGTATATGCATAGATAAACATAACAAGAAACCAGGAACCTGGCTGCCCTGCTTTCCTCTTTCCTTCCTTTTTTAAAAGATCTAACTGGCTTTATTGAGTGATTCATGAATCGGGCAGCATCCCATCTAGCAACTGGGAGGGCACTCCTGCCCTGCTTTTCAAGAAGTATAATGTAAGGGTATTTGGGACTTTGGGCCTTTGCCCAAATAAGAGACTAGCAAATTAGGGAGCACATAAGCCACCTCAGGAGTGTCAGAGTCTAGAGTGAGGGAGGACTACCTTGCATGGCCACCAAGTGGCCCATGGCTGGACCGGAGCTGGCAAAGCAAGTGTGAGAACAGATGGGAAAAGTTCAGTCAGCAGGAGCAGGACTCTTGGATCAGTCCTAGTTCTGTGTGGATAAGGAAATCCCTGTGAGGTAGAAGAGAGTCCAGATGGTGAGAATGCATACCCAACACGGTGGGGCTCCTCAGATATTTTCCAGTCTAGCTCAGGGACACGTTCCCAGTCCCTGGAGAGAGACCAAGGAGTGTGTGAAACAGAAAATGAATCCACCCCTTTTGAGAGTCAAAACTTATATTGGTTTGGGGTAAGCCCCTTCCTCAGCCAAAGGGGCAGGGAAACTGCATGAAATGAAGGACATGGAGCAGAGGTGGAGGAACTGATGGCCACAGCAGAACTTCTACAGCCCCTGAGGAGGCCAGAAAGCTCTGGGCCTCTGTTTAGGGTAAGGGAGAGACTGGGGCTTGGAGAGACTTGGCAGAGGCACAGAGGAGAGTGCCAGGCAAGAATTCACCCACATGATCATGCCTAATCCTCACAACAGTCCTCAGATAAGCAGCCTGAGGCGCAGAGAGGTTATGTGGTTTGCCCCAAAGCACAAAGCCTATATGTGATGGAATGGGATTCCCACATCACTAGAGTCCTTCTCTAAAAAGGGAAAAATATTGAGCAAAGTTAATACTCATATGTATCATGAGTATTAACTCATTTATTATAATGATAGGTAGAAAAAACAAGTTTCAAAAAAAACTTCAATCGGATCCCAGTATGTTTTTAAATGTATAATATAGAAAGAAAAAAAAAGCTGCAAGAAAAAAAAGCTGGTAGGTATAGCTCAATGGTAGGAATCTAAATTTTAAATTTTATTTTTCTGTGTTGTTTTTTTTCTTTCCCCCTCACAATGAGCATGTAAATCTTCTTAAAGCAGAGAAAATAAAAACAGGTTTTTCAGAAGCGGTTGTGAGGACTAAGTGGATCAAAGTAGTGAGAATGAATTACATGACAGAGAAATCCAGATTCTTACTATGTGAGTTCCACTTGGCTTCTCCAAGTCTGTTTCCTAAACAATAAAAGGGGATTATAGTCTTGTCCCAGTGAGCTGTTGCCAGGATTAACTGAAATGCAATATACACGAAAGTCCCAAGCACAGTACTTGGCATAAGGATGGTGCTTAATAAATATTAAACCTGACTCTTGGTAGTCATAGCTCTTCCTTGCTGCCCCAGGAAGGCCTAGCACCTACAGCTGTTTCAGAGAGAAAAAGGAATCTGGTTCCCTTGGCAAGGACCCCTTACTGGACCTGCAGCTGTCTACACACCTGATACTCTCTCCTCCTCTGTTTTTACCATCTGGAGACTTATAGGATCTCATTCTTTAACCCATTTTCATCTAACTATTTGCCTCTTCTCTTCCTTTGTCTCAACAATCTCAGCTGCCAAATAGTATTCTTGAGTACAGGCAACATTATTTTCAACATAACACATTTGCAGAGCACCTATGTTCTAAAGATGGCCCAGATACTCTCCACTTATATCATCCAGAAATATTTGTATGAACTCACAGTCTAGTTGAAATTTTAGATCCTTCAACAACTCCCATGTGTTGCCTAACTGCTATAATGGGTACACACACCATGTCGTGGAAACTCAGAGGGCAGAGTTACCAGTGTATGCACATGTGTATGGGAGAGGAGGGGAAGGATGGAAGTTAGAGTATTTAAAGAGTAACGATTTCCTCATCCTATATTCGGCATCAGCTTCATATACTGTCTTTACTAAAGAGAAAGGGGACCCTTCTGCCAAACTGGTTTCAAAGCCAGTTAAACCAATGCCTGAGTGGGGCTGGTTCCTCTTATCTTCAGATTTATTAAAGTTTGTTCCCAACCACAAAATTAGTGGAAGCCTTGTGGGAGGCATTTGACGGTGTGATGAACGACCTGCAGTGGGATGGAGAGCAAATTCCAAGGAGTTACAATCTAGCGTACAGTGTTCTCCTCAAACAACTTGGAGCCTATTGGAATTACACACACATTCTAATTAACAGGCAGTTTTAAGATTCAAAGGGGTGCCAAAACCAGACATCATTTGATATTTTTATTACTTATGAGGCAAACATTAATATCAACAGAAGTAAAAAAAAAAATTCACCCGTACATAGCTCAGGCTCCCTAACAAACTAATAAGCTGTTTTTACTTTTCCTTATTCCTATCCAGCCCTTGCTCAAATCCATAAATCCATAAACATGATAATAATTGTGGATTAGATACAATTATATATTCTACTTTTCTCACACCCAGATGCATACCCAGAGTGGCGTTAAGTATAGCAGTAGTCAAAACCAGGGCACTGTGACAACAGCCCCTTCAGGCCTGTAAACTGACAGTCCAGTGGAAGATGTTGGCAGGGCAGTGAGACACACCCTGTTCTGCCTGTGTTATTTATGCCTCTGGCAGTGAAGCCCCTGACAAAGAAGCATGTCACTGGAACACATGCTCTTTGTTCACAGAGGTGCATGCCAGCACCGGCTGTGTCAGAAGGGACAGTACCGGGTCTGTAGTCTCTCCTCCTTTGGCTCTTTTGCTTTCTTTTTATTTGGTGTACATGTGGCTATGTTTATTAATTACTTTGTAGTTTAATTTTATAAAACACACATTTATCTTGTGAGGAAAGAGTCCTTCATACCCTTGAGCTGTCATAAAGAGAAGACAGGGTCCCAAGATTTGCCTGGTTTCTCCCTCAGGATCAGTACCACCTCCCTCACCAGTCACCAGGTTACCACTCTCTCTAGCACAGAGCTACCACATTCCAGTCTCCTTCAGCATCTCCCCTTTACCTGCAAGATGGCAGGCACCTCTGCGTGTTGGTGGATATTAAAGGTCTTCCGCAAATGTTCCAAATCAGGTCCCCATGCTACCGACTTCATTGCAGTCAGACTGACGGTGTAGCAGTAAAGATGGCAGGCTTTGAAGTCAGACCTATCTGGGTTTAAACCCTAGATCCACCTCTTGTTGGCCATGCGGTTTAGGGTTCCTGAGCTTCAGTTCCTCCTCTGTAAAATGATTAAAATACAATCAACTTCACATGGTTGTCTTTGGATTAAATGAGAAAGAGCATATCAAGCCCTAAAAGTGGATGTCCAGTCTTGCTTGTTAGTTCATGGAACTGATTTGCTAGTTTTTTTTTGTAAAACTCTTCATCGCACAGCCCTGTGGTTCTCATAGCCTAATAATTACAGACCTCGTGTGACATCCTGAAGAGCTCTCCCTCATTTTCCCATCACAGAGATGTCTGCTAAGACTAACATTTTAATACTACTCAGGAAACAACAAATGGAAGTTTTTGTCCTTTTCCATAATCCTTGTAAAACTTGCTTTTGCTTTGAAATTTTAATTCTTCCCATATTTTAAAAATTGATATAAGTGGTTTTGTTTGCCACAGGTAAACTGGGAGTGGGAGGTCTGAATCTTCACTTTAAGAAAACCTTAGGTTAATGCATAGAATTGTGTTTTGCTCTATTCATAAGTTGTTCCCAATCTTGGGAGCCTCTTGTCTATAATATATTAGAATTAAGAAGGTATCTGATTAGACACATGACGTATTGACTTAGTTTAAGTTGAATATAACCATATGTTACGCCCCAGAGGTCTGCAAAGAAAACATAGTGCTCTAACCCTGGTTCTCAGGGTGCTCTCTTGAGCCAGACCATTACAAAGGCTACCTGCCAAGCTTCACCTAAACCGAGAGCATCAAGAATTTACACACCTCATGGGGGTCCCCTAAGGAATAATGGGATAAGTCTGCGGGGAAACTGTAAAACTCGGAGGCCCCATTAGAAATGCTAATTGCTGCCTTACTAGCCTACATTTAAATGTTAGAAACCCAGGGAGATTCTCCTGAACTTGGGGATGCTTGGCTCCTCTGTGGCTTGGGCTGGCGGCCGGCGGTGCCCCAGACCCCGCGGGCCGCGAAGGCCGACTCCTCCCGGTGCCACGTGGTATAACGCCGGCCGGCCACGATTCCGCTCTCGACTGGGGACCTTGCAGCCCTTCCACTACAACCGGGCGACGGAGACAGCAGGATTCGGGCAGCTGACCCACACCGTGTAGGGGAGCGGAAGGTTAACCCGAAAGCCCGGTGTCCCGCGCTCCTTCACGTCTCCCGCCTCTGCAGACGTCGGGCTGGCTCGGTCGAGCCTCAGCAGACGGGCTTGGTCTTACGGACCCCCGAAACCGGACTGTAAAGCGTCCACCCGAGCCCTCCAGGCAAACGTGCAAGCGCGGGCTAGAGACCCACGTCTGAGCGCCACGAGGTGGGGTCCGGGGGGAGGGGGTGGTCTCAGCTCGGCGGCGGGCGGGGAAGCCCCCCGAGGAAGATCTTACATCAGCCACCCCACGTGCAACCGGAGGGAGGGGTGGAAGTCGCTCGGGTCCCCCAGGCTGCGCCTTTCCCCCAGCCTCCGCCCCTCCCGCCGCGTCTCCCCGCCCCGTCCTTGGTGCATCCTCAGCCACCGAGTCGAGCGGCGCCGCTCGGGTCCGTGTGGAGCCGAGCAGCCGCCTGCGCCGCGTCGCCGGTTTAAGCGCAGTGCGGGGCCGCGGCCGGGAGCGGCGGTAGTGAGACCAGCGTTACGCTCCAGCCCCCTTTTCCCTCCATGGTTTCTCTCCGCTCCCGTGAGTAACTTGGCTCCGGGGGCTCCACTCGCCTGCCTGCCCGCCGCTCGCCGCCCAGGACCGCGCCGCCGGCCTCTGCCGCCAGTAGACCCCTTCCGACGGCCCTCGCAGCGCAGGCCGGGACGCCTCTCCCCCCTCCGCCCCTGCCGCGGAAAGTTAAGTTTGAAGAGGGGGGAAGAGGGAAACATGGACATGAAGAGGAGGATCCACCTGGAGCTGAGGAACCGGACCCCGGCAGCTGTAAGCAGAGCCCCCCTTCGGGCGCCCTCGCCCTCCGATGACTTGCATGTAATGGTGGCCACCTGCGGGGCCCCGGGTGCGGGTTCGCCAGCCCCGGCGCGGGGAAGGGCGCAACTCGCGGGCTCGGACGGGGAAGGCGGGCTGGCGGGCGCGGAGGGGGGGAGCGCGCGCGCGGGGATTAACTCTTTGGCGCCCGCGGGTCCCCGCGGCCGTCCGGGGAAGGCGGTGGGGTGGGGGGAAAACAAACTTTGAGCTTCTCGCCCGCCTGGGTCCTTCTCGGAGCAGCGCGCGAGTGTGTGGCAGACGGCGAGGGAGGGACAAGGGGGTTGTGTAACGCTGGGAGCCATGTTTGCAGCCTCCCGGGATGCGCGGCCAGGCGGGGACCGGGCCTGCGGAGGAGCCGCGCGGCCGGCCCGGGCCGGGCCCTCGGCGGGCCAGGCCGGGATTCGCGCGCCCCGGGCAGGCGGGCAAGGGGCTTGGGCGGGAAGGGGTCTCCCCTGGCCCGGTCTTGCGGTTGGCGACAGCCCGACCGAGGGCACGAGCTGTAGAACGAGGAGGGGGCTTTTTTTCTTTTTTTTTGCCTCGGAAGTGGGGGCTAGAAGCCCCCTCGGGTGGCCGGGGGCTCAGGCGGGCGCGGCCTGGCGCGCGCGGAGCGGGGGAGGGGCGAGCCCGGGCAGCGGAGGTGGCGCAACCGCCGCCCCTCCTCAGGCCAAGTTTGAAAAAAGGACGCGGTTCCCGCCATTTTTCAAGCCTAAAAATAAAACTTTCTCCCCCCATTTCTCTCCCTTCCCTTTCGCCCTCCGGGCCTTCCTCACTCCCGGCCTTCAAGGGCGGGCCCTGGTCGGCCCAGGCCAGCCGTTGTGTCGGTGGTGGCGGCTTCGCCCTCCCCCCCGCGCCGCGGCGGCGCAGCCCGGGGCCCCTGCCCGGGAGGTTGGCCCCTCGGTGTGGGCGGGCGGCGGCTCCTCGCGCCAGCCGGGGCGCGCCACAGGCCGACACAGCGCCATGTTGGCGGGCACCCGTCTCCCTCAGCCGCGAGAGCTGGCCTGCGGGCTCGGCCCTGCCCGCTCGCCCGCCCCCGGCGGTGGCTGCGGGCCGCCGCTCCCCAAGCGGAGCTCGCGGCTCGTGTTCCGCCCGCTTCTCCGGAGCTCGGCTCGCACTGGCGGGAGCTGCGCGCTTCGCCGCCGCCGACTCATCTCCTCTCAGGAGCTCGGCCGTCCTCCTCCCCCTTCTTAAAAGGGCAACGCCAGGCGGCCGGCTCCGCCCGGGCCAGGAGCCGGGGGTGCAGGCGGGCCTCGGCGGCCTCTGCCCCCCAAGTGCACGAGTGAGGCGGACCAAGGCCGGCAACGTGCTGGCTGCGGCTGCGTGAGCGCCTTTAAAAATCCCCTTTCTTCTCCACCCCGCGAACTAGAGAGGCTTCCCGCGGCCGGGTGCGGGGCCACGGTTCCCGGCCCCCACGCAGGGAGGCCGCCCGTCTGCCAGACCCCCTGCGCGGGTGAGTGGCTGGCTGTAGCCGTAGGGGAGCACTGGGGAAGCCCTCCCACCCCGCCCCAGTCTAGCGATGGGCGCGTTTCGTGCAGTCAGGTAGCTGTGGGTAACAAGTTACCAACTTGTGGAAATTCATCAACCAGGATTTACCTGGTGTGCGCGAGGTTTTGAATCCCTCAGGTCACCACAAATGAGGTCGGGGCGCAGCACCACGTGGCCACCGGGAGCGGCCCTAGGGGCGCTGAAGGCGTGGGCGTCTCTATGAATCCCCCGGGGTTTTAAAAGTTGAGGTAGGACCAAGCTCGTCCCTTCCGTTCATCAGTCAGACATTTTGTGTCGGCCACGTGCTAGTATATTGAAGGGTTAAACCTCTTCACGCTGTGCAACTCCAAGAGTTCTGTTCTCATTTTGAGAAGTTGTTCATTTCAGGCGTTTACGTTATAACTGAGTAGTCGTAAATCAATAGAACGTGGAGTAATTAACATTTAGCCAGAATTTCCAAACGGAAAGTACACACATGGATCTTAAAAAGTATTTTCAAATCTAGAATTTGAATTCTTTGTAACTCAAGTACTTAGTAATTAAAGTACTTACTCGGTAAAGATCAGTGTTGCTCCCTCTGGGAAATACAACTGGGCTGGTGGTTCCCACTATATGGAATGTTTTCATATATGAGATGACCAATATGTTGCTCTTTTTAAAGTATGCATATATGTGCAAGTGTTAATTTTTCAAGTAATCAACTTAGGCCGTACGCTCTTGTCAGAGTCATGTGGCTTTTTAATTAAAATTAAATTAAAAGGTCAGTTTGACAGTTGCACTATCCACATTTCACGTGCTCAAAAGCCACAATTGACTAGTGGCTACTGTATTTATTGGTCAGCACTGGCCTACAGCAACCCACTGGTTTATTAAATATTTGAGTACCAGCTGTATGCCAGGACCTGGAAAAGCAGTGTGAACAACGCTGAGAGCATACCCCTTCTTGTACTGGCCTTGGAAGTGTTAACTGGAGCAGCCAAGACTGTGGAGGTAAAGAAAGGCTGCTGCCCTGAGGACTCACAGGGAGACTGCGAGCAATAGGAGATAGGTTCTTCAGAGATTCTCTTTGACTTTAAACAGAAGGCTTTTCTGGGTAAAAATGCTGTCGATTCTGAAGAGAAATTTAAGAGGAGTTAAAAAGTGTTTTTTAATAACAGTATCGCTCTTAAGGCAAATGAGAAGTTCCAAAAGGACTCCTTTAAAGCCAAACTCAGCTAGTCACAGGCTCCTTAAGTTTTGTGGGGGGCCAGGTGTAGGTTTGGCCTCTGAGGTCCTACAGAATCTTGTCATTTGGGGGGAGAGGAAGAATCCTCCTCTTTTGAACGTGTGGGCAGGAGGCTCTAAAATGCACAAGATTGTACCCCATGGTGGACCTTAATGTCATTAAGTGAGATTTAAGTGTTTGAGGAGGGTAAATGGAGATTTGATCATAAATGTTTTTAGGCGTTTTTTTTGTTTGTTTGTTTGTTTGTTTTTAAGACCAGATGGGCTTGTATTGTGTGGTGGCTTTTTTGTTCTTTATTTTGGGGTTTGCAGACGACCCTGGTAACACTTTTACCTTGTGTTCTTTGGCCAGAGGCTTAGCTCAAGATAATAGGTTCAGTTCACCTAGTACCATATCCTTGTTCTTGATAAACACAAGTATTCTCATTTCTCTAAGGGGGCCGGGGAAGGGGACTAAAATACATGTGTGTGTGTGTGTATAAATAAAATATTCAATTGTTTTCTAAGTCCAGAACAGCTCTGTATCAGAGGTGTGTTCTCATAGTGGAAAAAAATGACTAAGATGGAGTTTAAAAAGTATACTCTTCATAAAGAATGGTGATAATCATTTTAAAATACAGAAAATATTTTACATGAAATATTTGTATTGCCAGTTACTTCACTGGGAACAAATTGTACAGCCCTAAAACACATTATATATACCACAGAAATTATTGATATGAGCACCTTGTTAACTGCATCCAGAAACAGCCTAGCTATTAACTTCAAAGTTAGAAGGCCAAGCAGTTCCTGTGGTTCACAGCCTGCCCCTGTGGAACACTGGGTATGCTTACAAGACTGAGACATTTCATATGCCATAAATAAGACTAATCTTTGCTTAGTCCCAATTTACTAAAAAAAAAAAATTTAAATAAATAAATAGGTTTTTCTCACATTTTCTCCAACTTTTGGCATCTATTGTTGTGTCTATTGTGATGTAATTTTGAGCTCAGTGGGATATTTTAATTGGTTGCTTAGCAACTAATTGGGTTTTTCCTTGAATAAGTAATACATATTCATTGAAGAAAAAGTAGATACAGATAAGCCAAAAAATAGTAGATATAGATAAGCAAAAATTTTAAAAATAGAACTCTCTCACGCACACACCCATCCTACCATCTAGACATTCTGGCCTGTTATATTTATTTAGTTATATAAATAAAATACAGTAAACATGTTTATCTTTCTGTCATTATTTATTATAACCTCATTGTTAGTCTATGGGTAGGTCATAATTTAACCATCCCCATGGGGTGGTTAAAAGGTTTTTTGCTTTTTAGAATGGTTCCCTTCTTTACCCACCAGTAGGATTTTGGTGTTTCCTTCATGCCAGTAGTTCTGCCACTAAACACATTTGAGAACCAGTAATATAAATCTGTTCTATTGTCATTTTGAAAACATTCTTTTAAAATAATAATAAGGTAGAAGATTTGAAAATTGGTTACTTGGAAGGATGGAAATTAGTAAGAGTGGCAGGAGTTACTTTTTCTTTCTACATTTTTGGATTATTTCACATACGACAATAATCATGTATAAATAAAAGAATTGGTAACTTAAAATGGTCTTTAATTCCTCTATACTTTTTTTTTTGCTCTCTTATAACAATTATAACTTGTAATTGAAGAAGGTCACTCAACCAGTTAGGTAAAATTGATCTTTTTATTTTTTTGAGTAGCCAGGGGAGTGGGAAGTGAGAGCAAATTGGAGAGGATGGAAGAGAAATCAGGGTTAGATGTCCTCTGTGTCTCCAGTCCCTGTAACTTGGCTACAGCATAGCTCAAATTTTTCAATGAAAACAGTACTGTTTTCCTGATTGCTATACAAAACAGAGTTAAGTAGGAAATAATGGATTTTTGTTTTTTGTTTTTAAATGTTTGCTTTAAATTGATGTTTGAGAAAAGACTAGTTTAATTGGAAAATAAAGTATGAAGAAGAGTGAATTTGACCTGAAAATTAAACCATCTATCTTTGAGCAGAAGGCCAGCTAACTCTGTCATGGACCAAATAGCTCCCTAAGTTATACACACAAATGTACAAGTGCCTGCCTTAGATAGTAGTTGTGGGAGGATTTGGGGCATAAGAAGGAGAAACTAGGGCCATTTCTTCTTGATTAGAACCTCCCTTTATTCTCAATCTGGATTGGGAGGCCATGGGGTTCTATGCCCATCTGCATAATGCCCCATGCATCCTTTCCCACAGGTGTATTCTCCCTTGCAAGGCAGCCTGGATCCCTTCACATTTCAGGAAGGGATGGGGAGTGGGGAGGCGTAATTATCTCAAATGCTGCTGACACAGTGCCCAAGAGAAGTGATACCTTTTCACCCACACACAAAAGTCCTGCTTAGACCTTTAAACAAGCTAGAAGGCTGCTGCTGATGGGCTTTCCAGACCTGTTATCCTCAAGCACAGCACTAAGTGGGACCCTCCTGAGGTCTCTGCTTTCTGCAGTAAATCCTACTGACCTGTCCTGATTTCCCAGTGGCTTGTCTTCTCACTGCGCCTGGGGAGCTCTATTCTGGGGTAGCATGTTTCTTTACTACACCCTCAGCCTTCCTAGAATAGTCAAGGGACATGCCTTCTCTGAGCCATAACACCTTCTGCCCTGCTCACCTCAGTAAATTCTGTTGCCTCCTACTCATGGAGAAAATTAAAGGTCTCACATGTGCATTCCCTGAACTTCTTGCTCTCCTACTTAGAAACTCACCTCCTGTATCCATTCTAGCTGTTGCTTCCCCACAGGAGGAGATGCCCCACCCGCAACAAGAATAGAAAGATATATCTTATTTTTTTATGTACATTTTCTATTACTTCTTGTAGTTGGGCATTTTAAAAAATGTTTATTGACAATTTGTATTTTTTATGGCTTGTCTTTTTTTTGGTCAATGTTTATTTTGGGATGTTTATTTTTTCTTCACTTAGGGTAAAGACAGTATCCTCAAGAAAAAGGTAAATAAGTGTGCCTAGAATTTTCATGTATCAAGAAAGGTCACAAAAATGTGTTAAAAGGGGGTTGGTTGCCATTTTAAATAAAGAATTCATAACTCAATAACAGGAACTCAAATGTTTATATTTCACCTAGCAATAGATTGTGAGGAAACAATCATAATTACAGAAGAAGTTTTACATAAAAAGATATGGCATTATTTATAATAGGGAAAATTGGAAACATTCAACAAGGAGGATTGTAAAGTAATTTATGCTACAGCCATACATTGTAATTTCTTTAGCTATTAACAGATAGTCAGAGTTGTTACTTTAAAGTATGCTAAATAATATAGTTTATCTCACTTATGTTTAAAACATACAAAGAAAACGTGAAAAAATATATCAAAATATTAATAGTGATGAAAATTAATATGCTTTGCATTAATATAATTAGAAAGTAGGTTGTCCTTATATCCAAGTTTTCTCTCATTTCATCATCTGCTCAATCCCCTACAGTCCTGACAGAAAACCCCTGTGCAGCACTCTGACAAACCTGTGACCATTTTCCTTTTCAATAGTTGTGAAGGCTCTTTCTCATACTGGGATATAGTGGCAACCAAAATAGACATGACTCTGACATTGTGAAGCTTGAAGCTTAAGTCCAGCTGACTTTTTTTATCTTTATTTTTTTACAGATTAATATTCTCATCATTGAGGTATAAAATAAGGTTCTAGAGAAAAGTCTCCTAACTGCTCACTTTCTATCCCTGAGAGATT